GAGAAGCAGTGCCGCCAGAATACGTGGACCAAGAAGGGCCAAGACCTGGCCTTCGGCTTCTGCTCCTGCTGCTGTGGGCAGGGCCACCTAAAGAAGGACACAGACTGGTACCAGGTGAAGCAGATGCAAGATGAGAAAAAATAGTCTGGGTTGGAGAAGAACACGGGGAGGGCCCCAGGGGAGGCTGCAGAGGAGGCAAAAAAAAATGCAGGCCCCTGAATAAACCTCAGAAAAGCTTGAGCCATGACCTCCCCCAACAACATTCCATGGACTGGCAGAACTCCCAGGAGAAGGCGGTCAGCACCACTGCTTTTGGTGGCCGCTCTCCTTGTGGTTCCCCTGGTCAGTCCCCACCCACTGGCTATGCAATCCTCTCTCCTGCCCACTTCAGTGGTCCTGCTCTTCTAGATACCTTGGGGAATTCTTAAAGAATGCCATCCATCTGGAACCTCATAAAAAGGCCATAGCCAGGGGCCATGTGTTCTGAATTGCCCACTTTGATTATAGTGCTGCTGGATTGTCTGTTCATGGGGGGGAACACTTTGACACCCCTGTACAGTTCTTACGGCGGCTGGGCCTCTTTGAGCTCCTCACTCATATCCCCAGGCATAAGCTAAACACTTTCCATGTGTGGATGGAAGATGATGCCCACATGGGCCAGGGCAAGGATCTGCAGAAGTTCATTGTTGCAGCCCTCAGTGCCAGCCATAGAAACATTGTAAATTGTTCTCTGTGCCATCGGGCACTTCCTGTCTTCGAATAGTTCCCACTGGTAGATGAAACTTTGTGCTTAGGTCCCTCAAGACATGATGAGACTGAATATGATGTTTCTTGTCACCTTCAAGGGAGGCTAATGCATCTGTACGCATTGTGTGTGGATTGCCTAGAAGGGGTTCACAAGATCATCTGCATCAAGTATAAGTTTCGGTGGGATGGCAGCTGGCACCAGCTGGGCACAGTGTATACCTACGACATCCTGGCCACCTCTCCCTGTTGTCAGGCCCACCTGAACTGCAAGCACTGTGGGAAGCCTGTGATCGATGTGCAGATAGGGATGCAGTACTTCTCTGAGTACAGCAACGTCTACCAGTGTCCA